CCAAGAGACCTACGAACATCCATACAAATAAATACAACAATGCCAAGAGACCTACGAACATCCATACAAATAAACACAACAATACCAAGAGACCTACGAACATCCATACAAATAAATACAACTAAATATTTATTGTTCTTCTTGTCATAGCCTTCTGAAAATAGAATAAGGAGGCTATACAATATGGTATATATTTTTTAAATATCTTGCAGTCAGTGTCCCAGGCCTAAGAATTGCCTCTAGCGAATGCTCAAGGTTGACTAGAAACATATAACCACCTCAGCCCCCACTTCTACAATTACTCTTCGATATCATCGGAAGTATCTGAAAGACCGAATGACACAGTGATAAATTTCGGAATACCGCACACTCTCCTTCTTGTATTATATATTGTACTTTAACACTCAGGAAATATCGCACACTCTCCTACTTGTATTATATATTGCACTTTAATACTCAGGAAATATCGCACACTCTCCTTCTTGTATTATATATTGTGCTTTAATACTCAGGAAATATCTCAAACTCTCCTTCTTGTATTATATATTGTACTTTGATACTCTGGAGTCTCCGCATGACGCGCCTCAACTGCTCTCTATATCCGCACCTGGCCCAAATAGCGCAGATATCCTGGCCACTACTAGCGGAGACATCATCACGCATAGGAAAACGCCACAGAACACAGCCAGGTCTTGGACCATAGTCGAAAAAACCCCATAAACACCGGATAGGAATTTGAAAATCTTCAACAGATGCATCTCATTCGGATTCGGCTAGATAAGATGAGGAGTGAATAAAGAGTGTGTCAGACTATTTATGTGTATGGTTTAGCATGATTATATATGCCTATGTAGGATGATTGTTCTGTTCTGCTGGCCAGTATACCAGCGGGAAAATGAACATTCTGTCTGCAGCAAAGCACGCAAGAGGTGTTATCAGGCCTTTGTACGTGGTGTTAGTAAGTCGTTGTCTGCATGTGCGCGAATAAATTCACGATTGCAACAATCTTTTTGGAATGAAACTCTTTAAAAGGAGTCCATAAAATCAGCAGTCGTGCGTGCTCTCATACGATGATCAATTACGGCACAACTTCAGAAATCATCTCACACACACTGGCAATGGACGCCAGATTCAGATGATAGCACAGGCGATTATACCTTCTAGATAAGGGATGCTATGTACTGTAAGCAAGATGGAAAACAGCAAAGGAGCATGTACTAGCCCGATACAAAACATGAGGTTGCTGTACGCAATAGTTAATAAAAAAAACGTCTCCTGTACAAAACAGGGACAGATGAGAACCACATGCGCATTGTGCTTTGAGTTGCGCGTAGTTGGCGCACCTCGTCGCATAGAAAGAAATTATTTTGAAGCACAACACAGCAGTACACCAATTTAGCCCAATTCCAGTGCATACTTGGATGTACAGACGTATATGTTGCATTGTTGGGAGCATTCATATTGATATTTGACTACACAACTTACGAGTATGCATCATGCAAACGAATTTGTTTGTGTTACTTCATACATACGAATGTACACACAAAGATGTTAGTTATCTCCCTATTTAGATATATGCACGTTTACACCATATGCATTCTTAGAACGGAATATGCGTATATCTCTAACCAGGCTTTCGTACCTCATTCCTCGGTTGTTGCAACTTGTCAAGTGTCAGAATGACACTTTCATTGAGCACAAACAGCTGAAAAGGCACAGTCAACCATTCCTGTATCAATTCGGAGTTTGGCTAGGTGAGTTATAAAGAATAGATAACCTACTTTTCCGCAGAGTACATGCAATGGTACGTATCACTAACACCACCCAAATATAGCGATAACAGAACCACATGACAAAACAAGAGTGTGTGCATCTTATACCTGCTTCAGCTGATATGATGAAAGTATAGCACAACAGAGAGTATGTGCAACGTACTCGCCCTACTCCGTCAGCTGTCAACCTTCCAGACTAACAGCAACGTGCACTAATCTATTCAAATTAGATTGTGCATTTGTACACTACAACAGGATAGTCCGTAACATTAGCAGTAAGTAACGAACAGGATTCAAACCTTAGCAGTCCGTAACAATCAACGGACGCTCACTCTACCGCACTACACTACACTATCAGATTACATTGCACTTAGCTTTGGAAACTTAACAAGCTTTCTAGGCGTAGAAACTGATATTTTCTACCTTACTCGAGCACGGTATAGTATATTTAGGACAAGAACATACCGAAACGCCCCCGAGATCTTCCATTGAGCCTTCGAAGAGCAAGCGGTGCAGCGACCATATGTGTGTATCATCCTCTTCGCCACGTGGCAAGTTGAATACTGTATACAGGAACATAGCGGCTAGACCAATCGCAAACAAGATATGGATATATAACGTCCTTCTGATTGGTGCAGGAGCCGCTTTCTTGCCTCTGTTCATGAACTCCGATGCTGACGACGAGAACTGGAAGAGTGATTCGAGCCCGGCCGATTGTGGAGCCTATGACAATACCCGCATATATTTTATGTCGTTCAATTGAATTCGATGAGAAATACACAAGCGACAGTAGAGACATGAGAGTGTTGTTCATACATGTATAAGCTACCCACAACAGCATCGACTGGCAAACCATGCCCAACAAGCCAGTATTGAATCTTTTTAGCTTGATACAACTGCTTCTGCAACCAAAGTTGAATACCTCGACAAAATACTCAGTGCACACGTCCACCATTGTACACCCGTAGAGACGGTCTCACACCTGCTTTGTACCGGCAGCTCCAGGCCTTCTGGTGGCTCTCGCTGCTCCTGTAGCGCCATCTCCACCCGCACCCGCATTACCCGCGCCAAAGAACATTCCACTGGGCAGGCCATTGGCATCGCCCCCCATCTGCCCACCCATTTGTAACGCGTTCAAGAAGGCTTGCATATCCTCTGGCGAGTTCATGCCGTTCTGCATGGCATTTAGTAGGTCCGGGGGGTTGGTGGTATTCGTTGAGCTTTGCGCCCCTTCTTCTGCTTCCAATGAGTTGATCATAGCTTGTGCGGCTTCCTGTAAGCGTCGTTCAATTGCTCGTGAGTGCCCAAGTGCTTGCATAGGTAGACGGCGAGTCTTGTATAGGTCGTTATATATGTGATACTAACAGCTAACCCTCGTGCATTCTAAAATCCATCGCTGATTGTCTTAAATTCAGCAGTGTGTGTGTACTGACCACATAGTTTGTCGCAGTGTATTATACACTTGTGTAGACCTTAACTACTACAAGAAAGCGATTTGTCCGACTCGGGCTAATGCATTATAGTACCCAGGTGAGCGTTACTGGCATATGCGCATTTATCGCTTAGTATTATGGGGCATGTGCGATCATACTATAGCGTGAGTGAGCAGATTTCATACAGCAAGTTGCAACATCGACCCTATGCCGCCATGAAGTGGGAGTTACAGGAACATAGCGAGACTGCCGTGATTTATCGAAGCTGGTCACAAATAAACGAATTGGGATATGGAGCGAGTCCCATACTAGATGCTTTAAATGCCATAAAATAAGAAGCATGGCCCAGTAGCGTAGGTGCGTACCATATTGCCATGGCAGGGGTTATGACGTCATACCGGCGACAGACGGCAAAATGGGGCGAAAGTTATATACCAACATTGCAAACAACAAGGAACCCCCTTTAACAGAAGCAAAAATAGTGCACTTTTTAAATCCATGAGTATCTATCATGCGTCAGAATTCATTCAGAGAACACTACAGGATTTAGTCACACTGAATTACCCTGTCCTTTTGGATTCGTTTCTCGGCCTCGCTCTGGGCAGCCTGTTGCTCTTTCGCCGTACTCGCAGTGTCCATGTCTGAGCTATCTGCCAATGGCACACCTGTACTTGTAACCTTTCGAAGCACAAGTGTTCATAGAATTGAGATAGTCGTGGTACAGTGTGAGTCTATTAGATCGAGAGCATTGAGCGCGTGTGCCTGATATGTGCGGCTGGTAGCGGGTGAACTAAGCCCGTGAGTGCTTTCCTCGTCCTGATACCAAATCTGCTTCTTATCACATACATATCGAACACAACTGAAGCGCTTAATCTGCACGCAGCAACGCGTTCCTGTTCCCGTATGCACTTTGTCATCCCTCGTGCTTTACATCACCATTCTATGAAGATGTTTTCCCGTATTAGCATCATATGCAATATCCAGCACAATGGAAGGCCCATGACAATTCATTGTAATTTCTTGTGAAAGGCACGAGCAACATCTATAAACTACGTGTACGGTCCACATATGCCCCACGTTTCTGTATCCACGTAAACATGTCATTCTATGTGATTGGTGGAGAAGACAATCAGACCATTGATTGTTGAGTCGAGGTCAAACGGAATGGAGCTTCAGACAAACTAAATATTACTTCCGTAGTGTTTAATAATAAAAAATCGTTGTCATGTAAGTGCATATATATA